ATGGGCCCCGCCCCCAACGCCGAGAGCCCCGACACGGCCGGTCACGCCCCCTCAGCCGGCCACGCCCTCACGGCCGGCCTGGCACAGCCGGGCGGAGCCAAGTCCGAGTGACGTCAGGGGCAGAACTTTCACTAGTTTGAGCTGGAAATGGGCGTGGCACCGACTGTCTGTCCGGCCGCTCCGTGTGTGTCTGTCCTGCTGTCCAGGGTCCCTCCGTCTGCCTCCCTCCCCTCTACCCAGTCCTGATGTCTGTCTGCCCCCCCCACCCCTCCCTCCTGCTGTGTGGTCAGCCTCCCATCTCAGCCCCGCATCTGTCTGCCCCCCACCTGTCCTGTTAACCCCCCACCCATCCCTCCTGATGAGGGTCTGGCCTCCACGCATCTGTCTGTCCTGCTGTCTCTACCCATCTGCCCACCTCTCTTTCCTTCACCTGATCCTCCTGCTATGTCTGTCCATCTGCCCCGTCCCCTCTGTCGGTCCCTCTGCTGCTGGCACCGACTTCTGCTGGCACCAGTGGGTGCTCAGCCCCCCTTTGCCCCCAGCTCTGCCCCAACTGCACCCCTGCCCTGCCCCCATTCCAATCCCTTCCCCAAAATGCCCACCCCAACTCCACCCCCTCCCTGACTCTATACCAGGGGTCAGACTGCCAGAGTAGCATGCCATTAAAAATCCTGCCCAGCCTGGCCCGAGCTGCTCTTCTCCGCCCTCCCCTGGAGCCCTGCCACTGTGCGCACAGCGCTCTGGGGGCCGGGGCTGTGCGCTGCCGTGGGGCAGTGTTTGGCTCCGCGGTGAGGCAGACACGCTCCCCCCCGTCCCTGGAGCCATGCCACCGCATGCGCAGTGCTCTGTGGGGCGGGCGTGTCTGGCTCTGCACGGAGCAGAACATGCTGCTAGGAGCCGTATGGTAAGGGGGTCGGGGGGGTTGGGTAAGGGGTGGGGGCAATCGGGACAGGGAGGGGTTGGATAGGGGGTGGGATTCCGGGCGGGGTGGTTAGGGGTGGGGGGTCACTGGAGGGGGCAGTCAGGGAGCAGGGCATGGGAGTCCTGGGGTTTGCAGAGAAGAAGCAGGGGCAGGGCTTCTTGGAAAAGGGGGGGGGTGGAATAGGGGCATACAGCCCCCTGCCCTGACCTCCACCCTGAGCCCTGACCTCCCCTCACATACACGCAGCCCTCTGCCCTGACCCCCCCACACACACACGCAGCCCTCTGCCCTGAGCCCCTACACACCCCAGACCCATGCCCTGAGCCCTGTACCCCTCTCATACACACCCAGCCCTCTGCTTGACTCCTTCACCCCCCCCCCCACAACCCAAGCCCTGACTCTGGCACCCCCACACATACCCAGCCCCCTATGGGTCCCTCCTGCTATCTATCCATCTGCATGCCCCCCCCAGCACCCATCCATCTGGCTGCCCCCTGCTGTCTGTCTATCCACCCCCTCATCTGTCTGTCCCTCTTGCTGGGTCCACCCATGGCCCTCCATTTGGTGCCCCCCTCATCTGTCTGTCGCACCTGTCTTTCTGCCCACCACCCCCAGATCTGTCTGTCCCACAGTCCCCCAATGTCCTCAAATGCCACCTGTGGCTACCCTCTCCTTTCTCACCCTAAGATGAGGACAAATCAGTGTCTGAAATACAGGTTGCTACTGCTGCTGCCAAAGTCACAGACACTCTCTTAATCCAGCTATGAAAATAGAAATATAGCCACATATAATGGGGTTTTACATTTATTTTATTTGGAAGTGTATATGAATTTATGTACAAATTAGGTATATCCGTCATGCCCCTGGCTAACATACCAATGTTAGAAATGTAGAGCCGGAAGGGACCTCAAGAGGTAACCTTATTCAGCCACCTGCACAGAGGCAGAACCATGTAGATCAGCTCTGACAGGTGTTCTAAAAAGCCTCCAATGATGGGGATTTCACCACCTCCCATGGAAGCCTATTCCAGAATTTAGCTAGCCCTTATAGTTAGAAAGTTTTTCCTAATATCTAACCTAAATCTCCCCTGCTACAAATTAAGCCCATTAGTTGTGTTCTACCTCCAGTCCATGTAGAGAACAATTGATCACAGTCTTCTCTGTAACATATTTGATAAGAAAAGACTTATCGGGTCTACCTTAAGTTAAGACTAAACATGCCCTTAAAAAACAAACAAACAAACAAAAAAAACTTTCCTCATAGGTCAGATTTTTAAACCTTTTATAATTTTTGTTGCTTTTCTCTGGATCCTCTCCAATTTAGCCATCTTTCCTAAAGTCTGGTGCCCACAATCTGATACAGTACTCCAGCTGTAGCCTCACCAGTGCCAAGTAAAACAGGATAATTAGCAGCTGTGTATTACATACTACACTCCTGAATGATATTAGCCCTTTTCACAACTGCATCACATTGTTGGTTCATACTCAATTTGTTACCCCCAGAGCCTTTTCAGCAGTACTACCACCTAGCCCAGGGGTGGCCAACCTGAGCTTGAGAAGGAGCCAGAATTTACCAATGTACATTGCCAAAGAGCCACAGTAATACATCAGCAGCCCCCCCATCAACTTCCCTCCCAGCACCTCCCACCCACCGGCAGCCCCACCGATCAGCACCTCCCCCTCCCTCCCGATCAGCTGTTTCATGGTGTGCAGGAGGCTCTGGGAGGGAGAGGGAAGGAGCGAGGGCACAGCAGGCTCAGGGGATGGGGTGGGAAGGGGTGGAGTGGGGGCAGGGTCTGTGGCAGCGCCAGGGGTTGAGCAGTGAGCACCCCCTGGCACACTGGAAAGTTGGTGCCTATAGCTCCAGCCCCGGAGTCGGGGTCTATACAAGGAGCCGCATATTAACTTCTGAAGAGCCGCATGTGGCTCCAGAGCCACAGGTTGGCCATTCCTGACTTAGCCAGTTATTCCCCATTTTGTAATGGTGCAAATTACTATATGTAGGAATTAAAATCAAATGCACTTATCTTTATTGAATTTCATCTTGGTGATTTCAGACCAATTATCTCATTAGTCAAAGTTGTTTTGAATTCTAATCCTGTCCTCCAAAGTACTTGCATCCTCTCCCAGTTTGGTGTCACCCACAAATTTTATAAGCACACTCTCCACTCCATTATCCAAGTCATTATTGAACATGTTGACTCGTACTAGATCCAGGACAGGCCCCTGATACACACACACATCCAATTTGACAGTAAACCATTAACTACTCTTTGAAAAAACATATTCAAACAAGTGTGCACTCACTTTCTAATAATTTAATCTAGACCACATCTCCCAAGCTTCCTAATGAGAATGTCATGAGTGTGTGTGAAAAGCTTTACTAAAATCAAGGTATATCACATTTTCTGCTTCTCCCCATCGCTATCAGAGGGCTAGCCATGTTAGTCTGTATCCACAAAAACAATGAGGAGTCCAGTAGAACACTTCAATCTCCCTGGACGTTCTATAGCTGATTTAAAAGTAGCTATACTTCAACCAAAAAACTTCAACAACAGACTTCAAAGAGAAACTGCAGAGCTACAATTAATTTGCAAATTTAACACCATTAATTTGGGCTTGAAAAGGGATTGGGAGAGGCTGGCTCACTACAAAAGCAATTTTCCCTATCTTGGTATTGACACCTCCTCATCAAATTATTGGTGATGGACCACATCCACCCTGATTGAATTGGCCCTGTCAACACTGGTTCTCCACTTGTAAGGTAACTCCCTTCTCCTCATGTGTCAGTATATATGCCTGTATCTGTAATTTTCATTCCATGCATCTGAAGTGGGAATTTTTACCCACGAAAGTTTATGCCCAAATAAATCTATTAGTCTTTAAGGTGCTGCTGGACTCCTATCCACTAGGTCAGCAACCCTGTCAAAGAAGGATATTAGATTAGTATGGCATGATTAGTTCTTAACAAGTTCATGTTGGCTATTACTTATAACCCTGTTATCCTTTAGGTACTTACCAAGTGATTGTTTAATAATTTGTTCCAGCATCTTTCCAGGTATCTAAGTTGGGCTTGCTGGTCTATAATTCCCCAGGTCCTCTTTGTCCCTTTTTAAAAGACAGATATTATGCTTGTCCTTCTCCAGTCCCCTGGGACCCCGCCCATCCTTCAGAAGTTCTCAAAGAAAATCACTAAAGGTTCCAAGATTGTTTCTGCTAGTTTCCCAAGTACCCGAGGATGAATTTTATCAGGCCAACTTGAATACATCTAACTACTCTAAATATTCTTGCATCCTTGCCCAATCGCAGAATTTCTTTAGTGCTTGGCCATTTAGCAGCTCTGTCAGCTTGTTTAGATGCATTTATAAATATATAAAAATGCCACTCACCAGAAGTCATTCTCTTTTATAAATCTGTAATATTTATCTTCTCTCTGTACCATTCAGGCCTCAATTTTATGGGCACTTATGGATATGCTAACTTCACTTTGACTAATCACATGCTTAAAGTTAAGCACATATACAAACATTTGCAGGACCAGGGCCTTAAGACTGCCAGTTCTTAGAGTCAAAGTTTGGGTGCATTAGAGTAATTGTTTAATAATTACAATAGTAACTACTACTGTTTGCAAGGCTAATTCAAAATAAGTTTTATCATCTATGGATTTGAAAGTCTGTTGATTCACATAATTTCAAACTGGTGTGACCCACCCCTCTTAATTTATTTGTTTTTTTTTTCTTCATTAGAAACTATTTTCACTGCAAATCTCTCACACTATCTGAAAAATTTTAAGAGTATTTGTTTCCTTTCTTGAAAGTATTGCTTTGCATTTAAGCTGACTACATGAAAGTCCCCATTCAACTCTGAGATACAGGAATCTTGAGCATCTTTAAAAATGATTGTGTTTAAGTATACACACTGTAATTCAACTTTCAGTACCATGAGGGTGTAGTAATACCATTGTTTGCAAACATAAAGGGGTGTGACCTTACATTCCTCAAACACTTACATTCCTTTGTATACAAAGGAACAGGAAAAACAGGTAGCTATAGATTCCAAAGGGTCCATGCACTGTATTATAAAACAATGTGTTGTTTTGTTTCACCGACCCCACTCATGAACTATGTGTCCTGATATTCACATCAGTTTGCACAACAATATAGACTACTAGCAATAACAGCTTTGAACTCTGAACTCCTTTTCCATGGTTAATATTGGTGCAGATTTAGACAATGACTAATCTTTCAGAAATTGCTATGAAATGTGCTTATAACAAACGTATACATAACTTTCTGTTAATTTCCAGAGGCTTACAAACCTCTATATCTCTACAGGCCCATATACCCAGTTCATATGGTAACTATTACTAAAAACAAGGAATCTACAAAAAAAGAGTTAGTTGCACTCAGAAGAGCTGCTTGCAGAGGGGAAAGAATGGAGTCTTAAAAGTTGCATGAGCAGCATTATCTTGCAGTTGTGAGCATTCAGTTTCACCTGTTAGCTATACCGGAGGGTTTTTTCCTTAATGTCCTGCTTTCCTTTTTTGTTTGAAGGCATTGAAGCCATCTGAGATTGCAGAACTGCCAACCCCAAATGTTTATATATATATATATATATATATATATATATATATATATATATATATA